CCACTAGGCTACCCGACCGCCCCCTGAAGTACTTGACATCATACGCTAATTTTCGCACATTACATTCAACGTTCGAGGGTGGGGATGGGGGGTGGTTAGCATGGGGCGAGTCTTCTTGCAGGTTGCGGAAAGGGGCGAGTGGTGACGAATGTGGAATTAAAATTTCTGAATAGATTGAATGTGTCTGCGGTAGTGTTTAGAATTGTCCCCCCTTTGACCAGTGTTCCCCTGAGCAATAATAAATGTAGAATTGGGCAACATTAATCGTAGGATATAAAACTCTCCCAGTTTCTCTATGAATTGACGCATGAATATAAAAGTATAGTTCAAGTCGACACGTGTACATTGCTTGAAAAACCATGAATACAGAGGATCCCACGAACACACGTCACTGCATGTAATGTGGGAAACAGACCAAGAACACCGGAACAGCTGCATAATGGATTAACAGTAAACATGCCGATATGTTGCGAGTCAGTGTGCTCAAAAAAGTCATTTGATATGGCTTGAATGCATTTATAGGTTATAAATCTGTCAATGGCCGTGCCATCAAAACCTGATTCACAATCATGATCAGGAGTTCATTCAAGACGGTAGCTGGATGTTGCGTACATTAGGAAATTGTAAGGGGCCAACCTGTTTTGGCGGGAGGGTGCAGGTGGCTGCTTGTATTTGTAAAGGAAATTATCCTTACATTTAAATACTGGGAAACTTAAACATACTCCATATTTTGAATAAACATGTTCACTGAAATGTATAAATATATCCTGAAAAAATGTGGCCAGTCCAAAACAGTTTGTGTGGCTTCAAGCAGAGCCCAGAATAATTCTTTTATTAACGGCAATCTAGACTTGAGTTGTACTTCTTTTTCAATTTTATTCTCTCGGGTCTGGGAGAGAGACTATCATAGATGAGCCAACTCGTAATTGTCAAACAAGGTTTATAGAGCGGACATGGAATATTTGGAAATATATTTTTCATTCACAACTATTGTCCATTGCATGCAACGAGTAGATAATTGTTTGCCGGTTGCGTGCATAGGGGAAGCTGTATTGCCCGTTGCGTGCATAGCAACAGGCAGTTGCACAGATTGCGTGTAACATATGTGTAACGTTTATGTCCGCGTATAGTGAATGTACGATGCAGGTTTGTGCGGAGAACATATAATAGATCTATTATATGGTCTCTGGTTTGTGTTGATGCCCGCCTATATGCCAGTAACATCGCTAACACAAGAGTGTACGCGGCCAATAGCTTGAACAAAATCGTGTTCCCTCAATACCCCAAAATAATTTCATGTATGGTTTTATGTGTGTCTGTGGGAATGCCATTAAAGTGAAATGTCTAAAGGTTTACGATTGACTTGCTATTTCCCAGATACGTTAACGTTTGTTTGCTTGTTTGTTTAATCAGATTGGTTCGTGATTGCAGTCTAACAGAGCAGCACGCATCTGCCCCCTTTCATTCTCATTATGCTAATTACTTTATAGTCGAACTGAAATAGAATTTCAAATTGACAAAACAAACAAAACAATTTAACTGGGGAGGAGTATTGTCCCTACATGTTTGTAAACATACCAGCCGGACGATTTCGAGTAAACTCAACGGAACCTGCCAAGCACGGTCGAGAGCTGTGAATGGTGGCAGCGATAGTAGAGAGAGCTCCACGAACGGACTATCGCTGTGAGGAGCTTGTTACAAGAGGTGTTAAACCCTACTCACTCACTCCAGCGTCCGACAACCGGTCGTGACTGCACCTGGGTCACTGTAACCTGCTCCAGTAGACATGGATCTAAATATACTGCTCGACTCTTTACTGTTCAGCTTCAATTATGAATGAGATATCATTACATCTCTTCAGACGTGTCTGTTGAATGAGCGGCATTTTGTTGATTCCAATGCCACCATTTCCTCAGCTAGGTGTGGGCATGTCGTGGAACCCGCTGTGATAAGTCTGTTTGGTTTACCCACGATCCGTGTTCTGGTTGTTGTCAAAACGGCCTCATGTCAGAACGGCCTCAAAACTCAAAAGTCAAAACGGCCAGAAAAAGTCATAACAGCCACAACAAAAAAGTCAAAACGGCCAAAATAAAAAAGTCAAAATGTCTATGATAATTATATATGAATATTCCATGTCAGCAGGATGGACCAAGGGTTAAATATGTGATAGTGCCGTGTTAGTGCTGAATTAGGATCTGTGTGCATATGGTTTTTTTTAATTGTTATACAAGGCATATAATGCATATTATGCAATTAATGTTACAAAAAAACATCTTGACTGTACCTTTTGAGGCCGTTCTGACATGATGCCACTTTAACCCGCTCCCCTGTATTCCCACATTGACTTATCGCTTTCTGGTAAATCATGATTCCTCGATATTTGCAGAGTTCGAAATACGCGCCTGCCCGTAGGCCCGTGCCAGGTAGACTTTGTGTCGGGTCCTTATAACTTAAAATAAATTTAGGTGTCGATTTATTTGTGACAATAAGCTGCAATTTTGTTTTTAAGTGAGGGCCTGGAGAGTGTAGTCAGGACCTGCGACTTCTAAATTCTGTGAGTCCTGATGGTAGCCTGGCAATTCTGTTTATTTCAAACACTGGACATGTGTAGAATAATTGTGGTTTGATAATCTGTCCAGGCAAGCAGCACAGGGAGTGATTGTATTTGGTGCAGCCAGATCAATACGAATTTTGTTGTACACTGTAACCTCGTTAGTGCGGACCATGTTTGCCCGGAACCCGGCTTCCGGGCGATCCTCGAGGGAACGCTGATGTACGAAGGTGGTTGAAAGATTCTATAATGGCCTGCGTTGATGGAGTTGGTTGCTAATTATTTTTCAACATAATCCCCTCCGAGGTGACCACAACTTCTGCCAAAGAGTGGAGTGCCTGGAGTGCCTGGAGTGCCACGGGTGTAAAAGGCTTCCTCCTGGTGGTGCAATACGTCCTCTACAGAAATAACGTCATCATCATTGGCATAACGCTTGCCGGACATTTCTTTCTTCAGACGGAGGGGGCACGGGTGGCCCAGCCGTCTGAGGATGTGCAGAGTTGCGTCCCTTGGGCACGCCAGAAACCTATGTTTGTGGGTTCGAATCCCGATTCGTCCCGATTATGTTTCTAGGTTTGTCAGCACCATACCTGTGCTCGTGGGTTTCACCGAAGTGGTAAACGTCTGAGACCTGCATCACTTCGGGCTTTCTTCCCACATTCAGCAGACACGACGCGATATAACTTGAATACTGTAACCGTTAAAAGCGGCGTTAAACCCAACTCACTCACTCACTTTCTTCAGACGGTGACGGTGCCTAATCTGGTGATTCCGGAGGATGTTCAGTGAGTTGAAAACCAGAGTCTTGCATTTCAGCCATGACACAGACTTGTGCACGGGGGCATTACCTGATGGAACAACACACCGGAAGCGAGTTTTTTTACGACGTTTAGCTTTGCTGGTCTCGTGTAGTTGCCTAGGCAGCTTTGTATAGTATTGACAGTAATTGTCTGACCTTTCGGAAGGTAGTGCACCAGTAGGATTCCCGTGGAATGCCAGAAAACCGAAGCCATCATCTTGTGCCCTTCGGGGAGGTAGATGTTAGATGTTTCCACTGCTTTATTGCTGGCTCATAGTCGTAAACAAGCGTTATTAAAACGTTACTAGTCTGAAAGCAGTCGCCGAAGCACAACAAACTATAATACCCGTTTCCTTTTTGCCACCACCAAACATGGACGAATACTTTGTTTCACCCTGCAGTATTCCGTAGGGCGGTCGGGTAGCCTAGTGGTTAAAGCGTTCGCTCGTCACGCCGAAGACCCGGGTTCGATTCCCGACATGGGTACAAAGGGTGAAGCCCATTTCGGGTGTCCCCCGCCGTGATATTGCTGGAATGTTGCTAAAAGCGGTGTAAAAACATACTCACTCACTCACTCACTCACTCACTCACTCAGTATTCCGGTTATGTAACGTTGTGTCAGTTGATGAGGGAGGAACGCCCGACATGATGCAGATCTCAGATTTTTACCACTTTGGGAACACCTTTTTTAGTTCTTTTATGAAATATTTTCCCTTTGAAATCTTGTGGTCAGAAATTCATATTTCTTAAGTTCTCTAACATTTGATTGAATATGCTGTATGGCGTGCAATGTCATCGTTGTATCGCAGTGTAACATGTCTTAACCTACTGTCTTGTACCTTAAACATATTTGTTGTGTTGTGGTGAAGAACGTCAGTTTGCATTCGGCTACGAAAATAGTGTAGTGCAAACAACATATATATATTCTTTAAAAAAAACACATACACAATTATAACTTTTACATAACATTTATTGAAAATACCATCATTTATTTACAGATACGTACAAAATTGACCAAAGTTCAATATTTTCAGCGCCAACACTAAATATAGCAATTCTCAGTTCGACATTTTCCATTCATGTATGGCTACCCAACAACCCTCGTGGCGTACCCGTCACTGGTCGTCGTGGTGAGACAATCACCAGTTCCACTTCACTGTCCCGTTGTAGCAGTGCTTTCTGATAACACTTCACCACGAATCGCCCATGGACACCTGTATATGCAGGCTGAGGCGACTGATATCGCCCATCGTATCACTATGAACATGACGTGTTACAAAACTATGTCGGCAGAGGTGGCAAACATATTCACAGCGATCAAACTAAACTAGTGAGTGAGTAAGGTTTTACGCCGCTTTTAGCAATATTCCAGCACTATCACGGAGGGGAACACCAGAAATGGGCTTCACACATTGTAGCCATGTCGGGAATTGAAACCGGGTCATCGGCGTGACAAGCGAACGCTTTAACCGCTAGGCTACCCGACCGCCCCTCAAACTAAACTAAGAAGCAAAAGAAACTATACCTCTCAGTTGATGTTTAACATGTTTGAAAATAACTGATAAGTTAGCGATATTATGTAAAAAATATCTGCACTGGCGCTTAGTCAGCACTGAAAGAATACTTCTACATGGTTTTAGTTTTTTTTAAATATAATCTGACTTCAAACTTTTCAAAAATGTTTAAAAATCGCATAATACATAACAGATGGGCAAATTCATTTCTTACCCCAGTCTTCATTGAACCGATTTACTTTTACACAAAATTACCCAGCCACAGATTCCTTTTTACAAAGTGTTGGAGAAAAAAGTTAAATAGGCATAATCAAATTTAACAACAGTTCCTTCAATTTTCAATTACATTAAAAACAAACTCGGTATACTTTCTTTTGTCCCTCAGTATATGTCAATGGGGAGTTTTAGAAGCAGAGGACCGCTATCACATCGTTCGAACGAACGAGACAACGGGGTGAGTGAGAGAGGTTTCATTCAATTGAAAGCATCATCTGTCATCAGTTCGGGAAAGAGTGTGTGTTGTTTGGTTGTTGTTTTTTGTTGTTTGTTCGTTGTTGTTTTGTTGGGGTCTTTTTGTTTTATATTGTTTTTTATTTGTTTGTTTGTTGTTGTTATTTTGTTTTGTTTTTTGTTTGTTTGTTTGTTTGTTTGTTTGTTGTTGTTTTGGGTTTTTTTTGGGGGGTCGCCAATCTTGGTGGTCTTCGCTGAGAGTGCAGAGAGTGCAAAGGAACCTGACATCAGCGTTACGAGCGAACATGGTCACCACAAGGCCAATTATGGGATGATCGATTGAGGTATTCGGCATTTAAATATCACGGTGATATGCCGTTGTTCTTGTCAAATCGTTGAACTATCCATACTAACATGTCATACTTTCATACCAGGAGTATATACGTCCCGTCATCCGACTTCCCACACATACCTCAGATGAACTGACCTACCAATCAGAAGCCTCGTCTTGTGGCGCGTCGTGGATGTACTGCCCGCTGTTATTGTCGACAGGGCTCAACATAAAACCGCAGAAAATATAACCAACTGCAGTACCAAACATGGCCGATAAATTAAAATTGTTGCCGGACAAAACATTCTTTCCTAAATATAAATGTATTTACTTGGGTAAAAGTCTAACTGAAGGTGTGCGGAACTGTACAGCCGTCTTATCCAGGTATAAGAGTTGAGCGAGAAGCGGAATAAATACATCCTGGTTCAAGTTGAGTTATGGTGTGACCTTTGACACACTCCCAAATACACAAGGGAGGAACTCGTAACGGCCACTAACTGTTCCCCGCATGGGTCTCGTCCCTCCGTTCAGACGTATATGAGAGGTTTAAACCCGTATTCAAAGGGAGACTACTTGCACACAGAAAGACTTAAATCTTTAATTTTCAGACGTTCGATCAAAGCAAATGTGATTTTGCTAATAATTCCACATATCAATTTTCACATTTTTTGTCTTGTAAACGCTCATGAAATTGACTATATTTCGGTGATTGAGAAATATGTACATCACATTTTAAAAAAAACAACATCTTCTAAATTCGAACTTCAAACAATATTTTATGGAACTAGGTTCCGACGTCGATACAGCTGTCAACGTTTTAATGTAATTCATTCCACTTTATAGTTTCGTTCGCACTGTTTCGAATCGAATGAATGGATGATTTTATCTATTACAAGATCCTTATTAAATAAATACTACACTAGATATAAAAAACAACAGTATATACATGTTAAATAACAGTCGTTTAAAGAGTATACGTTTATCACTGTACAAATTACATAGGTATTATGACGCATGCCTACGTCATAGTCAACAATGAGATATGTATTATGACGTAATGATGACGTCATCTGCAATGGGAAACAACAATGAACCTCTGCTGAATGAAATGAACAAAGAAAAGACGAAATATTACAAACGAGAACAACATTCGTAACACTATATCATTCTCTCACAACCACACAAGGAATCTTAACTATAATAGTTTTCCAAACTTAACAAGTTGATGGAGCTCTGCGGTTTCAATAACACTGCCAGTCAGGCGCAGAATACGATCACACAATATAACGTCAGAAACTTAAAATTTGGAATTGTACTGTTAGGTATATTCAAACCAAATATATAATACTACCATATTTTCATTAAGAAATTATATTTGAAATATAACACTCGGTAACACAAACGTAGGTCCAACTATGACCACTTGTATTGATCCCAGCTGCGGCTGTTACCGTATCCCCTCATCCCTAAGACAGACCGAAAATAAAAACCGGTATGGGGTTTAGAAAACAAGATGGCGGCCCCACCGCCTGTTTTCGTTTTCGATCTGGTATCATTATTCAAAGTCCTCTTTCAATGAAAGTTCAATGGAAAAACACCTCGCACGAACATTTACACAAGTCAATTTATAATCCTAATATTCCTCCTCCTCCTACCTTCTGGAAACCAGAATCAATGTCCTCGAAACCACCAACGATAACAATAGAGGAACACTTGTTGAAAGTCTGGAGGCACCATTTTCTAGAGCTTGTACGTTATTTGGGTGTTTTCCATCCGTTATTGAGTTACCCCAGGGTTCGTCAGAAGCGAGGGACGTTTCACAAAGTTCCCCCTCAAATCCGGGTTCACATATACACAGAAAGGAATCCGTGTATGATTTACACGTGCCGCCATTCCGACATGGTGAATTCTCACACGAGCTCTCCGTATCCCGTCTCTGACAAAGACTTCCGGTATATCCCGGAGCGCATGCGCACTCAAATGTCAGCTCGTTGATTTTCTTGCACGTCCCTCCATGAAGACAAGTAATCCCGTAACATGGATTGAGGGGGGTCTCGCAACGGTAACCCGTGAATTCTTCCCGACAGAAACATTTAGGCGTGTATTGGCCTAAGATTCGACAAGTTCCGCCATTAAAGCACTCGAAACCTTGGCATGCGTTGAAGACGTAGTCGCAGACCTTGCCGGCGTACCCTTCCGGGCACTCGCAGTGGTAGCCGTTCACCCGGTCCCGACACATCCCGCCTGAAGGTAATATATTGGAAATCATTAAATTATAACAACGGATAAGTCTTGTTGTATACATATCTCGGAGAATCATTTATGAAAACTGTCCATCAAATCGTGTATATTTTGTTATTCACGAAGCACTTGTCTTCAAAAATGTTAATTTGTTGTCCAGGGTAGAGTGAAACTTTGTTACCTCTCAGTCATTGTGACCTTCAAATATACAGTACAATACGGTTATAACGAACTCAAAGAGACCACTAATTTTAGTTAACCGTAGTTCGTTATAAGCATAGATACAGCATATTTACAGCACATATTCAGGAAATTGGCAGGATCAAAACACCTTTCGTTATATCCGTCAGTTCGTTATAATCGTTATAAACGTAGTTTACCGTATATTACGCATTCCGAGATAGACTGATATTAGTAAAAGGATCCGGAGGACCAGCCGTAATTGATGCTTCTGATAAAATACCTACTGGATCCGGAGTCGGTCTTTGCGCTACAACGATCTAAACTCCCATACGCAATATATTCATGATAGTCGCAGCGCTAGGATCGCTTTGTGCAAATGAGCGCTGGTATGTAAAACATGTTTTTACATGAATTACCATTTGTTAATAACGACAATTACATCCCCATCCAGCTACTAATAGCCCACCATCGGGTTAGAATAGATCCCCATAAATCAATGCTTCTCGTAAGAGGCGACTAAATGGATCGTGTGGTCAGGCTCGGTGTCATCGCACCCAAACGGCGCGGGACGTTGCTTATAATATCAATCACTTGTTTGTCTCCCTAAGACTTATATACATGCTGCCGTCATGTAGCTGGAACATTGCCGATAGCGGCGTTAAACAAGCAAACGTCGGTCGTTCAGAATACTGAAATTTTGGGATCGCGACTTTCAGCAACAGCGCAGTTATATCACTTCGGCAATATGCTTTACTGTCTGAACAAGGGTCCACGCCTACAATACCCATGACACAGAATCAACCAGGATGCCGTTCTACAAAACAACCTCAGCGCTACGAATGTTAAGATATGGGAGTTACGATCACCTTAGCGCTAAAAATCGCTTTGCACCCAGGTCACATATTCCGACCACCAGATCTCCCTTAAGTCGGCTTCTACGACAAGGGTTATTTAGATCTGTTTTGGTAACCTTATCGTTAAACAATATTCACACAATCTCTCCCCTCGTTCAGAAAAAGGAACCACACCAGAGAACGTACTTACCGTTTCTACATGGGGAAGATTCACACTCATTGATTTCGACTTCACATCGGAGGCCTGTAAAACCAGGAGGACATAGGCACCGCCAGTCACGTGACTCTCTCATGCACGTGCCGTTGTTCCGGCAGGATAGTTCTCCACAGGTGACTTCCTTGTGTTGACACCGCCTACCTTGGAAGCCTCGCCTGCATCTACAAGTTCGACCTTCGGCGGTCTCCTGGAGATTCAAGGATTAGCATGTACGTGAGGCTATCCAGCGCGTGCGGCAGTAACGACAGCTAATGCTTAGGGGCAGAGGCTTATATTCTCGAAAAGGCTGGAAAATATCATTGTACCAAAGAAATATAACGTTCACCGGAAATGTTGGATGTTCTGAGGTGAGGTAAGGTGAAATGGGGCTTAACGTCGCGTCGAAGATTATTGCACTTATATAGCGACGTGCATGCACGTGTAGGTGCGTGCGTGTATGTGTGCCTGCTTGTACAATCCGGACTGATGCCGATGTAATAGTGCTAGCCCACTAAGGTAGCATGCTGCAGTTTTACATGAATACCCCACTCAGACACAGTACACTGACTCCGAGCCGACCAGTCCTTGTTTATCCCCTTAATGCCGAGCAGACAGGGTAACAACAAGTACCAGTCAGTTCCCACGAAGTATCAGCTACCGAAATATTGCACAATTAATACAATCAATACATTTATTCATAACGTACCTCACACGCACCGCCATTGAGGCAGTAACCACGGAAACAGGTTTCAAACTGACATCGGTTTCCGGTATAACCGGAAGGGCACGTGCAGGTGAAGTTGCTAACAGAATCATAGTTGCACGTGCCACCATGGAGACAGGGCTGGTAGGAGGCGCAGTAGTTGTTGTCTGAAGTACAAGATACACGTATTCATACCTACAAATATTGACAGACAGATTGTACTAGTCTGGACTTACGCCCAATGTGACACCATGCCACAGTTAACTTGGAAAACTCACTCAGACACAGTATACCAGTATACCGAGCCGACCAGTCCTTGCTTTATCGGAGCGCAGGCAAGGAAACAACACGAACTATAAATTAACGTCTTTTATTATGACGCGGCCGGGATCGAACCACCTGACAACCTGACGCTCTATCCCCTTGACCACGGTAGGTATACCGTTGCTCAAGGATGACGTTGCTCGTAATATCAAGCACTGGTTTGTCAATAATGCACTAGGCCGGCGTTGAAGCGGCGTTAAGCAACGTTCTCTGACTCATTTTTAATCGTTCTGATTAAAGGGGCAGCACTTCGCTGAACATAACCTGCCTGCTATGTTGCAGTAATGTATCAGAACTCACCTATAGAACAGAGTGATCCGCTCCACCCGTCCTCGCACAGACACTGCCACGCCTCGCGACACGTCCCGTGAAGGCACCCCCGGAACGTCACGCACTTGTCGCAGTTACTTCCCCTCCATCCGAAGCGACATCTGGCGGGAAAACAAGATACTGTTTTACTTTCCATCCCAAAAGATATAAAATCAGTAAACATTCTAAAAACATATACATGTACTGTTTAGAGTGAGTGAGTGAGGTTTTACGCCGCTTTTAGCAATATTCCAGCAATATCACGGCGGGGGACACCAGAAATGGACTTCACACATTGTACCCATGTCGGGAATCGCACCCGGGTCTTCGGCGTGACGAGCGAACGCTTTAACCGCTAGGCTACCCGACCGCCCCTGTACTGTTTAGAAATTCGAAGTTCAAACTAACAGTTGATATACTCACTTGCACTCATAGGGCCTGTCACAGAAGCCATGCGATTCCAAACAAACGTCTGTGCAACGCGCTGAAATAAAAACCACACGTTTGAGATTATTTAAACGTTATAGTTGAGGAGATATACTGATCATATATTGTTCAGTTATAACATTATCCGATGCATTCTAAAGTACCATATTGGGATATATTGAGACAATATACAGATTGCCACTAGTGAGTGAGTGAATGTCGTTTTACGCCGCTTTCAGTCAAGCAATACCACAGCTAGGGAAGATTTTCACCACTTGTCTTCCTTGTCTCAACTCTGAATTTACACGTATTTCCAAAGAAAAAACTATAGAACAGCCCGTAGTTCTGTGAAGCCACAAGGCAACATCAAACTGGTTCAAAGGGAGCAGGAAAGAGAACGGCGATACGCAGCTAGGCCAGCTTTTGTTCATATGAAGACTTAACTCCTGAAATATCGAACAGAGTTTGAGGACCCTTGTGACGGCTAAATCCAGATAACCTACCTTTATCACAAAACTCGCCCACCCAGCCGTCCATGCAGATACGGCTGCCGTTCCTGTCGCAACGGTAATGTCCGAACGTGTTGTCCCTGGGCCGACAGAGCCGGTCACACCCGTCGCCATAGTAATGGGTGTCGCAGATGACGCGGTAGCTGTAACGGATGTCTGCGGTCATCGTTATCTGAGACTCGTTCTTCCAGATCGTCGATGGCTTGATCTTCCCAGCTCTTCCCGTCCGTATCACAATATTTCTCGGATCTGCAATATCACAAAAAATATTATAATTATTTTGGTAGTCTCAATGTACGTTGCATATTGGTTAAACATAAATCAATTCAACCGTCATTCCAGTCATACATATGTCTATAATACGTTTCCAACAAAAGTCTAAAAATATCAAATCTGTGGAAATATTCTCGTAACTTTTGAGGTACAATCGAGCATTATCTTTCTTCCAAGATTTCAAAGAGCGTCATACGACTCTTGCTCAGAAGTTGTTTGATCAAGTTTACAACATTCAAGGCCTCAGTAAAGCTTTCAGAAAGTTATATGGTAGACATGTGGAGGATATTTCCACATGTGACGCATCAATTACAACAATGATGTCCGATGCAGTTCCTTATTTTGACTTGTACCATATGTTCTCGTGTTCCTTCAGGTAAATTGACTTGACTGTGCATGTGTTTGTGACGGGTGTCACCGGTGGGGCAGGATACGCTCACCTTTTCGCAAACACCTGAAGTCATCACGATGTGATAGTGATTCATATACACATGATCCTGACATAGTCGAAATGGTAGAATCGACAGAAAGTTCTTATGAGTATGGAAAAGGTCTTTTCGCTTATATTAATGATACACATCTTTCATCTTACTTCCGAGTACCCATTTATAAGCCAAACGCCAATATTATACAGAAAAGAGCCGATAACACCCCCTGAATTCGTCCGGATTAATGTATTTCCGGATTAACGAATCACGCGTACTGAGTTATGTCATTGCATACATGTAAACGTTCCCGCAGTCAATGTCTTGAAGATACAGGATTCGGATTAACAGGGTCCGGACTGAAAGGTTTTATTTTATAAACCTGTAACACAACCGTTACATTATGTCGAATATACCTCAGCTACTTTACCCAAAACTCCAACATAAATTTGAACTGAAAGATTTCAAAATTCAAGTGGATGTTCCAAAGAATATGTGTGTTTGTCGGTTTGTTTGCTGAATCCATTTGTCTAATCAGATCTTTGGTGTGGCATCACTCTATACAAATTAGTGGTCTGTTATTCCCTCTTTGATATAATGAGGGTGTTGTTCAAGATAGAGGCAAATACACCTACCGGCTCTGCTTTCATTGCCGTGGGCGTCGTGCCAGGCTTCCACAACCACGGCGAAGGATTCCTGAAACACGTGGACAGTGATTGACATGAAACATACATGACATGTACAACGCTCTTGACGAAAGAATGTATCTCCACGTGCATCTGCCTCCGTCTAATAAAGGGCGGGTTGTGGAGCAACTCTGGTACAGATTGACATGAAACGTCCATGAAATGAACTACGCTTTTGAAAAGAACTTATTTGCTTGGGATTTCCCCAGGTGTAGACAAAGAAGTGACTGTGGTCTTGACGGACATGAAACATACATGCAATATACATAGCTCTTGTTCTGGTCCATCTCAAAACACGTGTTTGTGCAACAGTACAGAATGAGTTTTGTTTCTGATTTGTTTGTTTGTTGTTTAACGTCGATAAAATATCCTCTACAAGTATAAATGTCAGCCTTGACCGAAGTGGTCAGATCTCGTCCTTTGGTCATTGTTCCTGGCAGCTTGGAAGCGCAGAATTTGAAAGTTTTCTTTGTGGAACTATAAATTATTTCATTGATTCAAAATCATGGTTAGTTGTTTATTTGTTTACTGTTTAACGCCGCACTCATCAATATTCCAGCTATATGACAGCGGTCTGTAAATAATCGAGTCTGGACCAGACAATCCAGTGATTGATATCATGAGCATCGATCCACGCAATTGAAATACGATGACATGCATCAACCAAGTCAGCGAGCTTGACCACCCGATCCCGTTAGTCACCTCTTCCGACAAGCACAGTTGCCTTTTATGGCAAGCATGGGTTGCTGAAGACCTATGCTAACCCGGGTCTTCACAAGCCAGTACAGAATGACATGAACCACGTCTTAACTTAACAACCTTATGGACATACAGTGTCTTGTTGCCACGGACGAGAGCCTGCTCGTCTAAGGACAACGTGTTTATTGTCTATGTGAGTGAGTTAATATTTAAAGTCGGCAATATTTCAGCCATATCCTGACTATAAAAAGTTTCACATTGAGGCTATAGGAAAACTTGTCAACAATGGACAGTACAATAACTAGATTTATCTTAGATTTTATTTAATACTAGCACATGATCATAGAAATATATCACTAAACATAACAATACATCATACAAACGGGCTAAATATCGATAGAGACTGAAGGCAGGTCACCATGCGCTGGCCCATGGGGACTTACAGTACCTTTTCTACCTACATGGACCCCAGCAGGATTAACATCATCCCTTCAGGTGTTGGAGACTATTGGCAAATTTAGCCGAAATTAAAAGAACACAATCCTATTGTCTATGTAGTCCTGCACCATAAACATTCAAATTAATCCAAATAATACAAATAAGCAAGTGTAGATAGATGTATTCGTGTGAAATAAGCAAAACAAATTTCAATTAGAAAAAGGTGTTGTGTGCTAAATGTTCTCCGCTACAGCACGTCAGAAACCATGATTTTGGGTTCGAATCCAGGTTCGCTCCGATTATGTATCTTGGTTTGTCAGCACCATGTACGTGCTGGTGGGTTCCACCAAAGCGGAGACGTCTGAGACGTGCATCACGTTAGGCTTTCCTCCCACATTAAGCTGACACGCCGTGATATAACTGGAATACTGTTAAAAGCGGCGTTAAACCCAACTCACTCACTCAATAATATATGTAAGTCTAGTTCGGGTGATCATAAAATAAATATTAATGTACGGCACATCTAATGAAGACGTTCTCCTCTCGAGGAGACCGCCTCCGTGGTCTAGTGGTAGAGCGTCCGCCCGGAGAGCGGAAGGTCCGGGGTTCGATCCCCGGCCGCGCCATACCAAAAGACGTTAAAAGATGGTACTTGTTGTTACCCTGTCTGGCGCTCGGCATTAAGGGGCTAAAACAAGGACTGGTCGGCTCGGAGTCAGTATACTGTGTCTGAGTGGGATATTCATGTTAAACTGCGGCATAATATCTCAGTGAGCTAGCACTATAAATCGGCCCGGACTAGTACAAGCAGCCACACAAACACTCACACGTACATGCACGTCGCAACATAAGCGCAATAATCTCGGACGCGACCTTTAAACCCCATTTCACCTCACCTCACCTCTCGAGGACTGTCATATCTGAGATTAACTACACGTGACTATGTCGCATCTTGCATCCCTGAGTGGGCAGGGTGGTGTCTTGTCGCCGCTTGTAGCAATGTCCCACGAGGGGGACAATATGAATGTTCTTTAGAAATTTTAGCGTGGTGGGAATCGAACCCCGATCGGCGGCGTGAGGAGCGAAAGATGTGACCACCACGCTACCCTGCCGCCCTAATCTTTAGCGACAAACATCATAATCACAATCTCGCGGAAACTTGTTGAACTTTATTCTTTTGGTCAAACGGCGAAAACTGCACAAAACCAGAACAAGGAAATACTGTAACAGTTAATATTGTTTACATGACGTGGCAACTACAATGAGTATACTGTTTAATAAATAACTGATAACGATTCGGGGGTGATCCGGGACTTAAACACGTGGTATTATCTATCTATCTATCAAAAAACGCATGAATGAGTTTCCATACGTTTGTATACCAAAAGTAGCATTATCAGTTTTCCTGGCAACAAAAAATCCGACTACCCTTAGACAATTTACCGAAGTGCAAACAACTTGTTCTTTCAATACATACCATTAAATAGAATGTTTTGTTTTTTCTTCAAATGTAAACATAAAGTGTTATGTAAACATATAGATTGCACATTAGTCTCAGATAAACATGCAATAAACATATACATCTGGAGAGCGGGTCGTGCAAGTGCATGGCTCCCAATCACGATTGTGCACCACACGTGCGTTTTATTACATCACAGAAATCGAGTGAGTGAGTGAGTGATAACAAACATTACGTCAGTTTGCAAGATATACCGTGTTGTATTGTAAATAGAACATGTCATGGAGTTAAAACATGTCATCAATATATCAAAGGTGTATATAAAAGCAATTTGACAAACATATTTTGGCATGATAGCATGTTTATATTTATAACCTGTCTAAACCGGCCTCTGTCTAATCCGGCACCTTGTCCAAACCGGCATGATATTTTAGTCCCGGCAGACTGTAGTGAGTGGGTGAGTGAGTATTGTTTTACGCCGCTTTTAGCAATATCCCAGAATATCACGGTGGGGACACCAGAAATTGGCTTCATATATTGCACCCATGTGGGGAATCGAAATCGGGGCTTCGGTGCTGTGTTCGATTTAAGCGCCTGCCCGTAGGCTCGTGGCAGGTAGATCTTATGTCGGACCCGTAACTGGCCTGCAGTTAATGTACATGTCGATTTGTTTACCACAATAAGCTGCAGTTTCTAAAGTGAGGGCCTGAAGAGTTTAGACAGGGCCTGCAGCTTTCAGAATCTCTGAGTCCTGATGACAGCCTGGCATCTTGTTTATTAGAAACACTGCTTCAGCGGAGCGGTCGGGTAGTCTAGAGGTTAAAGCGTTCGCTCGTCACGCCGAAGACCCGGGTTCGATTCCCGACATGGGCACAATGTGTGAAGCCCATTTCTGGTGTCCCCCGCCGTGATATTGTTGGAATATTGCTAAAAGCGGCGTAAAACCTCACTCACTCACTCAAATATTCTCTGTGTAATGGTTTAGGTAAAGTGACATATTACAAACCCAAACAGAGACATTCAGAGACATTTGCAGATCTCAGTGGTTGTTCAAATATTTTTTGGCGAGTGAGTGTTGCGTAACGCCGCAGTCAACAGTCAAGGCACCAGATTTCTTGTTAATAGTTATATATGATACTGCCCTGTGACAAGCTCGGCAGTGGATGAGGAACTCTGGAATGACTGCTGACCACACAGTTTTATTACCTGCTGACAGTTTTATTACATAAGAAGATCCTCTGGATATGGACTTTCTGCGAATTGCACTGGAATAGTTCATAGTCCATGAGGATAAGAAAATCTTTTTCGTTGTATTTTGTTTGGGGAAATGGAATCTATCACTCGACATTGTTTTCCTAAGATTGATAAGATGAACGGAAATTAAAGGTTTGATACAAACCAAACTAGGGAAGCAAATTTCTTGCAATCAGAAAACGGATAACCATCGCTAAACATGGACCTCGGAACATCACATCGTCACAAAGACGAACGATACCCCCAACACCGTATGCAACAGATCAGACATTTGCATTCTCGCGAGATCTCGTATTTTAACACGTGCGTTGACAGATATGTTATGTTATCGCAATGGATAAGGCCAATCTACAGGCAAGGGCAACATGAAGGGTATCTGTGATGTTAGGTCACCAAACTCGACCCTGGCGTTAACAATCTTGATCAACCAAACCATCTATCAATAGAAAATGGACATTACATGACGCAACGATGACGTGTATTTCAAAATGGCGACGGGTTTTGATACGAGACTGATGACACTGTCGACTTTTCCAAAACTGACACTCCCCACGTGCGCCTTAGAAAATATTCCATCTGACCCGCCTCGTTAATTCCGAGCCATTCCTCCGTCCTTATGCCCACTCTAGACCCGGACCGTGTTTGATAGGCTCAAGGAGACATGTAATTGATAGAGGATATAAATTGGGTTGGGGGTTTTAAGTCAGCGTGGACGGAGAGGTAAATAAGATTCTCATCTACGTGCAGCATTTAAAACTGTAACGTTCGGTACGTGTGTATCTCGAGTGCATCGCAGGACATATGAGAAGATGTTCGTATCATATTCAAATATTTACACAAGCAGTCGAAGTATTTAGCTTCTTGTACATATTAGCGCCATGAGAAGGATCTGGGACATTACATCCTTAACTTTTTAACAAGCAGTGGTTCAAAACGTTTTCCCAACTCTAACCGATTTCTGTGATTCGTTTGGATTAGTAAATTCTAAACCACATGTCTAGTTATGTGAGGACAACGTTGTAAGATCTAGAAACTGCAGGTGTACAAATAAACTAAGTTGACAATCACGACTTTAAGGCCTGTCAAATGAATTTGTTTCAGATCCAAATGAAATTTAATTTTAGCAGTACACCTGAACAAATATGTTTATCACGTTATCC